AAAGAAATCTGTCAGTAATGTCTAGATAATCACCCCATTGCAATTACAGAAGAAATCATAAAGAGCAGAACGCTAATTGGGAATTCCCGTTTTCGAATGAGCGTCTTAAGCAGTGATCGGTTGACTGTACCACTTTTCTAGTATAATATAACCACTGGGCTTGTCATCCTCCGTTTTTACCGATCACGAGTAGAAACTTATCAAAGGGTGTGCACCAAAAGGCTCCCATTTACCATCATTTTGAATGATTGTGCCTCTGTTATGTTCAGTTGACCACAAATTATATATTAACTACGTGAATTCGTGACAAATGAAATATACTATTACTACTAGTATGTAATAGCGTGTTTTTTAAGGGGCGCGGTTTCTTCACAGTTTGTTTCGGGAGGTGAATTTGGTCTAACGAATCATGATTTTCGTCAGAAGTTGGTGTCTCGCATACTCATGTATGTTTAATAGAACAACCATTAATGTCCAAGGCTTGCGATACGATATTTCCGCATTTCCACAATTGGGGTTTTTGTTTCCACTGACACTCTGTGTGACATTACTATATCGGGCAACAATGACCGAGTACGATCACTAGTTTGTCATATAAACAGAAACATTGGTGCACTGTTGTAAACAACGCGCTGTGCTTATCAACGAAACAATCATAATATTATTTTATTTCTTTCACACTCACTAACACGCCCTCATTGGTGACTACGCCGAGTGGTCGTTTCACTCCGTTCAGGTGTTAGACCAGTAGTAAATATCAGCATTAGAAAGGGCTATCATATCTCTTGTGAAAAAGAATTTGAAATTCTTTTGAAATTACTATTGCGGAACAATATTTGTTTTCGCTGTAAATATAATAAAAGAGAACAAGAAAGACGCCATTACGTGACCGTTAACACCAGATAGAATGTAAATACATGTAATGAACAATGGACACATCTATACTGTAAAACACGTGGTATTTATCGTAGTCGGTGGTTGAATGTCGATTAGGAACAAAGCCGCAGTCACTTTCGTCGCACAATTCGTTCGATTGCCACGATTACGAGGTCTTAATAAGAAAATAGAAATGACGTAACGATGTGTATCGCCACTTTCTATTTCTAGCTATAAAAACAAAATCAAAAGAAACTTACGAACACTGACAATTCATCTTGGGCATGCAGTCATTACCCGTATATATACACACACATATGCGTTGAGGATTCTTCACTTTTAGAGAGAGTCGGCACGTCATTCATCGTAATAGCTGAGAATATCATATGACATGTAAATAATACACGGCAGATATTGCATACAGCGTAACACCAATGTGTAGCCTATGCACACAGATACATTGCTTTTCGTTCATCGTGATATTTGTTAATGATGTAAGATATTTGTTAATGATATAATGCGATATACATTGTACCAAAAATAAACCAGCAATGCTGAGTACTATTTGTATTACTTGTACACTAATAAAGAAGACAGGAGTTCAAAAAGACTGTGTACGCATTGAACTTCTTTATTGTACTCGCCCACTGTATTTTCTGTTTCATGGAGTCCGTATTACACAATGCCGAGTTGCAAATTCATTAACAAAAATTAGCTTAGAACTTTAGAAGTTTCCAATGCAATTATTCTATGTGTACCATCACTTGCTTACTACTTCGTTATCATGCATTAGCACATGGCCAACAGCCCTCGACCAATCAGAGTTGCGATAAAGTGTGGTTCTATTTCACAATGAATTCACTTAAGATCACGGCTGGAAAAAAACGCAAGAAAACACAAGTTTGATTGCTGTCAAAATGTCATCATTATATTGGCTAATACAAATCTTTTCTAGGGCTGATTGGCCAATGCTAAGTCGGTCAGATCACGCCCCTCGGTGACTATGAGAATTAGACCGTGATCTAACCTATACTTAGACTGAAATATCGCGGGTATCACATGTGAAAAGCTTCTTACACTCTATGTGCACATTTGACACCACCTTTTGGTTATTGAATGTCGATATAATTCCCTGACTGACTTGACGTAACAATGGTGTGTTTGTACAATTATGACGTCACGGTGGTCTGAATGACTGACTACGTTCATTATTATTGACATTAGACTGTAGAAAGGTACAACTCAAATATTTTGCTCATTGTTGCCTTGTGTTACCTAGGTGACATGATCAGGTGACTGCGGGACACTCTGTCCAGTGCCACACACCGTAGACGTGTCTCACATTTTACAACCCTTGGTAAGACAAGAAAAAAAAACGCATTTAAATTTGAGTAAGATAATATTGCGTTCATATGGACGTCAATGGCATCTAACAAAGTTCAAAAGTACATAATTATTATAACCTTTCAATTCTTGAAGGAAGTTTATAATTATCACAATTATTTGTTTGTTTGTTTTTCGTCCCCAATTCAACATATTCATCACATATAACGAAAATAATTAAATAATCTGCATTTTACCCTACTCCAGTACGATTAATTCTCCCGACTTTGGTGTGGCAACAACATGTCGTGTAACACTGGGATAGCGTCACCACGATTGCCGTTATCAATTCAGACTTGTGTCTTAAAATATTCTTATGACCGTTAAAATATTAAAAGGTCATTCAAAATGTACAATGAATGACGTATAACAAGAAATCAAATGAAATATGGCAAGCCAAACACGAAAAACGTGTATACAATCTTATGAAGAGGGTTAGGTACAAGAATGATGCGCGTGCACGGCGAAGACGATGATTGTCAAGTATAATCCATCAACCATTCCTCTTAAATAGCTTAATAATAAGTTAATAACATGGATGAATACTGAATGGGCTTTAAACACACTAAATTGGCAAGTAACAGTGAGCTCTATTGTTATTTTACATACTCGATTGGATTTTATTTAGCAAATTTCACTTTAAACCCAGTGAGAAATTAAAACCCAGCGAGTAATTAATGCATTTTCAGTAAGACATTCTTCGCTTGATCAACATTATTGAGCTAAAACTAAATTCTAAAACAGGCATGTTATGAGAATCACATATTGTTCAAATATTGATACAAATACACTGATGCAAACATGTCAGGAATGGTTTGTTTGTCATCGAAACGCGGTCCGGCAGAACGGCCACCAATCAGTACGCAAAACAGAGAATGCAATTACTGTTGCCATGTTTTCGTTTAACGTGGCTCCAGCATTTGCCAACCGCAGTAATATTATGTCAGCAATAAAGTAATATTTGCATTCAGTTATGTTTTGAGTCAAAGCGAAATTCTCATTTTAAAAAAAACACATCACGTTCGCCATTCGAACCGTGCGTTTTGTAACTCAATACTGACATCACGTAATAAAACACGACATCATCGTTTTGCTCGTATTATGTCTCCATTATATTGAGTCAGAGTTTCGTAGCAACTCAATCGAAAACATTTCACACTTTTGTTTAGCATTCTAAAATTAAACCGTAAAGTGCGTATCATGAAAATGAGCCTTGTATGACTTGGACTGTGATTAAACTGCACGTGATGAACTCTAGTTCCACCTACCAACGTCTCTCTGACACATATCACACAGGCTTGATTAATACAACCGAAATATACACCGCCCGTCAATATTAACCTCATTCTATCCATGTCGTGTTAGCTGTACTAACATACGTCCAGTAGGAGGCAGGGCATTTGCATATTGCTAGGCAACTAGCCGAGATGCTACCTGTCCTCGATTTAAAAAGCGCAGCTTGTTGGCAAAGATAATATTTGAAACCGAAAGCATCGACACGCCCGTCGGATTCTTGCACCAACTTGGCAGTGCAATTTGAACTTGGTGGTAAAACATCTGCCCGCAAGCATGGATCCTGAAAGTTTGGATATGGTTAACCGCGACCCCCAAGAGTTGAACCCCCATGTTCGGGTGAGTAAGGACTATTTCCAAAAATATAAAAATTGTTGTCCATCGTCTTGAATTTGAGAAAACGGTCACAGTCTTGGAACACTCAGACCTAATGCGCAGGATAGTGGTTTTCTTACCCCCCAGTATCAGGGAAGTTGTGGGTTCGACTCGTGGTTTTCTGCCACTAAGTACTACGGTAGTGAAAAAAAGTTGTCAAGTTGGGCAATCATGGTTGGGAGTTTGTCGTCCAGTTGAGGTAATCGAGGTGATGATCTTGCGTGCTGCTCCTGTCTTATTACACGTAACATTTCTCGGCAACGATTACATTGACATTTTTTCCTAAACTTGCCCCCATCATGAATACATGTTAGCACTAGCTACTTAATACTAATGGCAGAGTATCACAAATTAATACAATACACTATCGGCGCTTTGCTGGGTTTACCATCCACGAAATACATATTTGTGTTGTGTTCAATAATGTTATCACGCTTATCATTTAAGTGAATGCAACTGTGAGATTTAAACAGCAATATTGTGATCAAAATTTTGCATTTTTTTTGTTCGCGAAATCAGTCATTAATTATGAATCGAGGAGGTGTAATTTTTTCATGATGGAATGTACACGTAGTTGTGAATGATAATCGTTAATTGAACAAACGTCACAGCGCAAATTAAGTACCATCGCAAACGATTTTTTGTTGTACCATTACAAACAGATACCTACCGGATATTAACGATATGATTCACGAAAATCCGAAATCCTGAAAATCAACTGCAGTTCAATTGAATCAAAACACTATCCTCATTCACCCATTTGTTTTATACTAAACACTATTGATGTACAATTTGAATAAAGATCTGAATAATGTTTTCAGTAACATCGGATCACTGAGCGCAGTCTAATGCTGTATTGGCCCACATAATGTCATGTTTGCCCACAATCTACAAAGTGAAAACAAACCGACGAAACCTTGTCAGCGTCGCAAAACTATTCTTGTCACAATATGTTGTAGTTAGTATATTTAGTCGGTGTGCCAGCCTAAGTCTATTCCCGGCACTTTCCTTTTCAATGCCGTCCATTTTCTCGAACAGTGTGTCTTTTGAAACACTATCCGTGTGTATTATTGGCATGGAAACCGTTTAAACAAACACCGATAAGCCATTAGTAATGCAAGTTCAAATATACTCTTTCTGTTGTTTGTAAAAGAACCTGTAATAGCGCGGCCGTGACAAGTAACAGATGAAATGCAAAATTCGTTGCGTATTTTTTGGCGAGTTAATAAAATTGATTGGTCCGATGAAAAATACACCCACGTGACAATGTGTATCATTATTATACAAGGTTTATGCTATCTAATCACCCGATAGGCTAAACGAAAGTCGCAGCTTCATTCACACTGCATATCAAAAAACATACTTAATCGAAATGTTGAATCATTAAACACTAGAAGAACATGTGCATGCCGGGATGCGAAGAATAAAAGTTGTGCCCATCATGATAGCTGTTATGTTCAAAGTTAAACAAAAACAAAATAAAGTGCGGACCGAAACAGGCAAACTTTAACACAATGACAGGGACCGTGTTTTCAACTGTATATAGCAACATATTCGCGTTGCTACAACAGATAGGTTAAGCAAACATGCAATGGCAATAAGCCGAAAACGTTGTATTCTATCTAATGCATATGAGTCAACATTGAAAGTGAATGTTTATTCGACATTGCACGTTCTGTGTTGGTTCAAATGTACTACAATTATTAACTGGGCTTGGTGTTTGCTGTATCCATGCCAGTGTCAATGTGACCCACAACATAGCAGCTGATTCAAGTTCAACCATTTATACGGTAAAAAAGAGCGCCATCACTAAAAGTGTCAGTTGACTATACGTTGGTTGTTGACTGAATCTCAGCTGACCGGGGCACATTGTTTCAAGACG